ACAATCTGTGACTACTAAGACATCTAACTTCAAATCACATGTCAGCCTTTCCCAGGTGTTTTCCATATCACATTGCCTCTTCATTTCACAAAGTCATAAAACTTACACCACTTGGAATCCCAGCACTTTGGAGCCAGCGCTAAAGGCTCCAGAGTTGAAGGCCAGCCTGAGAGAGAGATCTCAAAAATACTTAAGGGCTGCCAGGCATGGTGGTGCACACCTTTAATCCCAATAACTCGGGAGGCAGAGGCAAGTGGATCCTGAGTTAAAGGGCAGCCTGGTCTAAACAATCAGGTCAAGGCCAGTCAAGGCTACATGGTGAGACCCTGCCTCAATAAACAAAACAAAACAAAATCCACTAAAGGCTAAGATTATAGCTCAGTGGTGGAGCACTTGCCTCGAATACCCAGAACTTGAGTTCAGTCCTCTGCATGGCAACAAAAAAGTCTCAAAACCATACTGTCTGCCTAACTTGCACAGGTCCACTACCAACAGTGGTAGAGCGCATTGGCGGCTATGAGCGACACCATGCAAGCACCAAAAAGCAAAGGAAGCCAACAATTTTTATTATGAGATGTTTGCACCCAGCACACACTTTGCTTCCTGTAAGTCTCACAACAGCCCTTCAGGAAGGCCCTGGTCGTCCCATTGTACAGACCAGGGAAACAACACCACAGAGAAGCTTAGCAACCTAACTAGGGTCACAGGGTTAAGTAGCCTAGCAACGATTTTAATTACCTGTCATGCCACATACCACAATGCTTCCATGGTAGGTATCATAGTGATACTAGTTTTGTTTTCATGGGGTATTTTTTTTTGTCAGTGATAAAAAAATAATAAAAGTAACTTTTTTGATGGAAATATTCTAATTGTCCTTGAAACCAGTCATGGTCACAGCACACACCTACCATCCTAGCACTGGGGAGGCGGAGAGAGGAGGATCAGAAGTTCAAGGAGTGAGTGTGTGTGTGTGTGTGTGTGTGTGTGTGTGTGTGTGTGTATCCCAGAGTGGGAGAACTGCAGAGAGCCTTGAACTTGAAAATTACAAAGGGGAGGGATTCTCACGCCTGTAATCTCAGCACCTGTGAGGTGGAAGCAGGGGATCAAAGAGTTCACTGGTCATCCTCAGCTACGTACTGAGTTCCATGCTAGCCTGGGCTATATGATCCTGTCTCAACAAACCAATGGGGGGAAAAAAGCATGTAAATATAACACTTCAAATAGTTTTAAACTTGAGAAGATCACTGAAGGACTTCTTAAGGGAAAACATATTTTTTAATTAGCTTTAACAAGTGACGGTGTATTATGAACCCCCAAGGGGCTTCCTTGTCAAAAGCAAGCAGGAAGAACTCTGTGTTAAAACACAAGCTGTGTACAAATAACGGAAGGTGAATTGCTTTTAACAAAAACTTGTATTCTGGGAATAAATACCTGAGTCAAACTGGAAGGGCCAATAGAACTGAACGCTGGAAGGACTACGAGCAAGGGCAGTAGTAGATTCACACACACACACACACACACCAGGAAGGACAGGGATAGAAGGAGTGTTGGGAGAGGGCAGGCCGGCTGGAACCCAGGAAGTACTGACTGATGGACAGGGATGAACCCAGGACCAGAAAAGGAAACAAATACCTAAAACCAGGGCCTGCCCCTATGCAACCAGTCCTGCTCTACAGTATAAACTGAAGGTAGGAGCCTGGCACCACAGCTCACACCTCCAACCCCAGCACTCTGCAGGCTGAGGGCCCTGGGGCCCGCCAGAACTTCAACGAGAGTTCCACAATAGCCTGGGAGAAGTGTGAGGCCCTGGCTCCTAAAACAGAAAAAGGAATAAAGCAATGTAAACTCAGCACTCAGAAGGTAAAGGTAGCAGGGTTAGTTCAATGCCATCCTCAGTGGCATATGGAGTTCAGACCCTCCTGAAGTATACAGACTCGCTCTCAAACAAAAATTAAAAAGAAATGAACTGGCCAAGACTAGAGATAATGGGGTTATCTCTACGATATAGAGGATACAGAGAAAGGCATGGGCGACAGAGCAAGACCCTGTCTCCAACACAACAACAAAAGATCCACAAAATAATGCTGGGAGTACATACAGCTCCGTGGCCCTTCTGGTGCTTTTAAAAATGTAGTAACGATTACTTCTCTACTTCTCTGCCATTTGGCTAGGATTAAGTGTAAAATGCACAGGGCAGTGATAGAGCTCGTCTTTAATCCCAGCACTCAGGAGGCAGAGGCAAGCAGATCTCTGAGTTTGAGGCCAGCCTGGTTTACTGATTGAGTTCCAGAGCAGCCAGGGCTACACAGAGAAACCCTGTCTCGAAAAACCAAAAGAAAAGGTGTAAAATGCATTAACTTTGACTGGGATAACTTTATGGTATGTATATTATATTTCAAGTTTATATCTAATGTGAGTTAAGCTGGGGCTATGTGTGATCGGTTATGATTAATTAGCTCATTCTAAGGGTATCCTCGGAGTCTCTCATTCCATAGGTAAACTGTCTGGGAGCCTCTCTGCTGTAAAGCATTAGTCTCAGGAGAGAGTTGTATTACTAACACAGAAACAGCCTTTAAAGAAGGGGTCTTTCTCCATTTTTGTTCTTGAAACTTATTAGATAAAATTCTACTACGGCGCTGTGTGGAAGTTTTTTTTTTAATGATGGGTCTGCTTTGAAGTGGTGTATCAGGTTTCTTGGGGGGGTGGAGTAGGGTGTCATCTAGGGTCCAAACTCTATGCAAGGAGAATATGATCTAGTGTGAAAAGATGGGGTCAGTTCTGGAGAAATCCCTGGTTTATCCTGAATTAATCACAGACCTCTTACCTCTGCTACCCACACACTGGTGTCACTTCCGCCTGTTACTCGCAAAGACAGATGCTTTGCCTTAAACGCTGAAGTTTCTGGAGAGCTGGCCCACGGACGCAAATTAGGAAGCCCTTCGGGGAGCCACCTGGGTGAAGTTAAGCGCCACGTCTAGTGCCGGGCTCCCCCCTTCTACCCTCCCAGCGGAGGAAAACGAGCGGAGGAAGGCGGCGAGCGGGAACGCCCGAGCTGGTCTAGGCCCTCTGCAGCGCAGTCGGCTTTTCTGGGAGCCGCCCCTTCCCCGGCGAGAGCCCAGCCCCACCCGCCCGCCTCCGCTCTGGGCCGCGACCCCAG